GAGATAGCATATGTTCACAGGCACTCTGTGATTAAAGAACTGGAAATGCCAGGCTCTCAGAGGGTGAGATCCAGGCTCCCTGCTCCTTATTTCTGGTCAATATGTTGTTCTCATTTGTCTGGCTAATGAAGAGCTGACCTTTCTAAGTGGATGCGTTTTGCTGAAATGACAACTGCCAGGGAGCTAACACCAAAAGCAGAGCTCTCAAGGCAGTTTCGGCCTTTCCAATTCCTTTGGCAGATTTCAATCAAAGGGATCCCAGGCTCAAACGTCAACCTCTCAGTTTTGGCTCCTGCATTACCGGGCTTGGAGAAACTCAACAAAATCTGGACAAGAGTGGTCCAGCCTGTCCCTGCTCATTAGAACCAGGCTTTCCTTGGAGGCAACTCCCACATCCAAGATGATTGTAACAAGCCAACTCCAGCAGCACCACCCATTCTAGCTTCCCACTCACCGGGTGGGCACTGATGCTGCCGCTCTGTGGAGCAGATGGGCAGCGAGGTCATACCACCCCCTGCACACACACAGGCTCGGGGCTGAGCTGCCTGCCTGATCGACTCTGCCGGTACCAAGGTACAGGGACTGGACTTTCCCCCCTTTGGCATGGGGGCAAAACCCTGTCCTCAGTGGAAAGCCTAGGAAAGCAGAGTGTCCTGCAATCACTGTCCGAGCGATGACACTCTTCTCTGGATACCCACCTCCCCACCTCAGTCTAATTAAGCTGCAGTGAAAGATACATTCCTGCTTTTTAACTCCCCACCTCCTTCATGCCTCTCCTTTCTTTCATTTATCGTTTCTGAACACCCACAGGGCTCCAGAGTATCCTTGATCTATTTCCATCTGACTCCATTAGAATCCTTGCAAGAAAGAGCCAAAAGCTAAAAATGCAAAAAGACACGGGGAGACACTGTGAGTTTGGGTCTTTCTGGCTTCACGGTTAACCGCATCCCCTGTCCAAATATCAGCCTCTGCGAGCTGTCATGCTTCTTCCTGCAGCAGGGCATTTTACAGCAACTGACAGGAGGAACTTTATGAATCTTAAAAAAACAGTCAGTTTCTCTCTCTTCCCGGCGGGGTGCAGCCACAAACACACTAAAGCCAAATCTTTCTATCTGCTCTAATTATCAGCAAGGATACAAGTCACCACAAGGAGAAAGGTATTAAGCCTTGTATCTGAAACTCTTTGGAATGAATTGTAATCTCTTGCCTGGTGGTGTAAGAGCTGGAAATGAACACAATGGATGCGTATTTCTTTCCACCTTTTTCTCCTCTGTCTCTCTTTCTTTGTATCTACAGATGTAGCATGAGGCAGGCAGAGAACACAGAGGGATTTGAAATAAGACCTCAGATTCCCATTCAGTTTTCATTTTCTCCCTCTCTGCTTTCATTTAAAACCCATTCTGAATGGAATGCCACCTACCCATTCAAACTCTGCTCTCAATTATCCCTCTCCACTGTGGATACCAGTGGAAATGGCCTCAGCTGAGCCAAGATTGATAAAAGGAGGAATTTTCTGATAGAAAATGATACTAAATGTTAGAATGGGTTACTCAGGGAAGTAGGTTGTAAAGGGTGACCTCTCGCCTCTAAAGTTGGTCATCATCTCCAGAGGAGGCTCTGAGAGCAGCAAAGATTCTTTTCTATCTTTTCAGGGTCAAGGTCAGCTTTACTTAAAAGCAGGAGGCTAGGCCTAATGGTTCAGGGTCTAAAAGGGAATTATTAATATTGAGATTAAAGAAGGACAGCACCTTGGAGGCTACTCGTTAATCTCAAGCAAGATCTGGTTCCCAGACAACATACATTTCTTTCAAATGTGACGCTAGGGGGGACATTCCAGAATTTCTAGTGTGTTACTGTGTCCTGTTATACTTACTTGGATGGACAGTCAAGATGGTCCCCTTTCCAAACATCAGCTTGCCATAGCTGCCACCACCACCATAGTTAACACTGTAACAGAGGCCTTTACAAGAACCCCAGGGGGCTGCTGAGGCTCAGAGGCATCTTCCTCTTTAATTCTGGGAAGAAGAAACTCACCCAAAGGGACCTGGATTTGTGAGGCTGAGTTTCTTCCCACTGGAGGTTGGAGGATCATTTCCATGCCTGGTCCTAGGACACTGACCTGCTGTATCCCCCCTGCCTGCCATCTCTCTCCTCTTCCTCTGTTTTCCATCCTGAGGCTTACAAATTTCTTATGTTCAGCATCTCTCTTTCTAAAGGTCTCATTTCCATTTTACAGCATCACTTTCAGGACAATTTCTCTGATCAGTTTTCAAGTCATGTCCTCCCCTCCCTTTGAGGTGTCACACATTTCTAATGACAATGAATTGATTACAAGAAGACAGGAGTTCAACTTTTAAGGAGGCTGACTAGAATTAGATGCGGTTTAGGCTCCAGCCTCATGAAACATTGTCTCCAGAGCTTCGCTTCATGCCCCAGCATAAGAAATGAAAAAGATGGGCACAGTTGACACAGTCTTTTTTCACAGAGTGGCTTTTCTATCAGTTTTGAACTTGGTGAAATGTTAGTGGTATGTCACAGAGAGTTTGCACCTGAGCCGTGTTATGGTGATTAGCTTTCCTGGGCTGTTCTTGGTTTAGCAAAGAGAGACCTTTGTCTTGGGTAGCCTCTCAATCCCAGACAAACTGGGACAGCTGGTCACCCTACCGTCTCATGAGAGGTGTTCTGACCTCACAGAGCAGCCACAGTGGTAGAGTTAAGTGAGGTCTCTGCTAGAGGGAGGTTTCTGCCTATTTACTTGGGGTTGCTGTAAATTTCATTCTTGGACCAAACACAGCTTCCATTGCTGATATTCATAACCACAGGAAGCCTGGGGGTCTCCTGGGCTGTGTCTGAGGGATGCCACAAAAGGTGTAAGAAGAAAAATTGAGGCAGGCCCATCATCGGCACAATGGGGATCAAATCATATCCCCAAGGATGTGAAAACCAAATATATAGCCCTTTAGTCGCATTCAACTTCTAAACTCTTCAACTGTGTTGACTGAATTTGTGCTAGTCTCTGTGGTCATCTCTTTAACCAACCACCTACCCACAAATGGTCAAAGCTTTAGCTTGCTTATCAATGTGAAAAATGTGAGAGAAAAAGGCTATTATGTAGAAACAGACATCTCTGTCTGCTTTAAGCACAGCAGTCAGGGATTCAAGCGACTCTTTCCATCTCGTCCCTATTTTACAACATCACAGTTTAAAGAGTTCCTCACACCCTACTCCAGTTGTTATAATATCAGGACACAAGCCAACTCAGATGCCTGTCCTTAGCAGAAGCCCTCAGACAGCACCACTATGTTGCTGTGGCAACAATCTCTCTCTGTTCTGCTGGTTGAGGGAAAACAGAATTTAATCATAGGTCTCTTATACCCCAGCCTTGCCTTGTAGCCCCTGCATATAAAGAGTCCATTGCATGGAAAATCTGGCATACAAGTACTGTTCAGAGCTTTGGAAAGATGATTGCCCCGCACAGATATTTCCTTTGCATGGTTAGGCTGTCAAACTCCCTGGCCTCTTGTCCACACGTTAAAGTGTAGAGGCCAACCGAGTACTGAGGGCTCCCAGCTTCCCATGCATTCCGGTGCATTTCTAGCAAGACACCAAAGATAAAACCTCCTGTATAGCCTCTAGCCTACACTGCCCATGATCTAAAAAGTGACGTCCTGTCCTTGAATCTTCAGGATGTTCATACGCATTCCCTTGAAGCTTTAATTAGATAGATGCTCAGAGACCGCTGAATGCGTGGGATTTAACAATGTAATGTATTATTCATTGTTTCTATTGTTGCAGATGGACACTGATTTTGCCCCCTGCTGAGCAAGGCACTGCTGCACATGACAACTTCATGGCTAACCACACTGTGTGTTCTTCTAACAGGGCCTATCCCAGAACATTCCAGGTCCTCTGCTACCAGGCTGCATTAACTCCTTCAGCTCCACTTGCACTGCGTCACCCCGCTGTACTTTTCAAGAACTGTGACTGGGCTGTGTTTTGCAACATGCCTTTCCTGGTCCTGCATCTTCTTCTAATCACAGAAGGCAGATCTGAATAAATGAAATGCTGCAACTGGGACACTTAGCTCCTGTCTAAAGGAAACTGAAGTCCTTCAACAGGTTTTCCTCATTTCCGCTTTAACCAAATTGTGTAACAAATCAGTCTTCTCAGCATTAGTTTATAAGCACCACTCTCAGAAACCTATCAGAAACAGATTTTCTAGAAGTGCCAACAGCAATTTTATAGCATTTTAAACTTTTCCAAGTACTTACGCACATTATTACCATTATGGAAAGGTGGGCACATATTCGAAGAAGAGAGTGTACCTCTCTATTCTCACACCTCGGTAGACAAATGATTTTTCTCCCCGTCTCTGCAGTTGAACTAAGTAAAGTAGAGGCTCAATCAATGGTTTTGGTAACTGAGGGAAAAATGGGGTTAAATGCTCTGCCTGAGTTAACAAGACAGTTCCACTCACAGAGATCTCAGTTACTGGACTGGGGATTGAGAACAGTTCCTTTAAGAGCGATTACATGAAGGGAAAAGAAGAAAAAAAAATCTGTTTGTTGAATTTCCAGCATTTGTTAATAAAATTGCAGGGTCCCATTATTTTAGAGATAAATTTAGGAGAAGTTTTAGTATCTGTGTCAGGAAGATTTATTTTTGGTCTTCTGAATTTGCATAGTCACAATATGCCAATTTCCTCTCTATCTTTTTGGCAAACATTTCCTGGCTTTAGCTGAATCCCTCAGGATCCGGTATTCAATTTTTCTCCCTGTACCAATAATTTTATTTAAGATGGATGATAGGAATGTTTTTGGCTGAAGGTAATTTAGTCTTTGTACAATGGAGTTCTAATCTCTCTGACAGGGGCCATGTTTTCCCAACACAGCATTAGATTTGGAAACTAACCTGGGATGTTCGGAGTGGGGGTGGATACTAATTTAAATGAGAAGAAAGGGGTGCTTCACCACCCACCCTGTCAGCCCCTTCAAACTTACTTGGATTCACAGTCAAGAGGGTTCCTTTTCCAAATGTCAGTTTGTAGCTGCTACTTCCACTATTCCCACAGCCAGGGAGCGCTTTACAAAAACAGGAGCAGGAGCTGCTCCTTACTGAAAGGCCTTTGGGGTCAATACAGTCTTGATCGGCAGCCCTGCACTAAACTACAGGTTATTTGATAACAAGCCCAAAGGCGGCCACTGAACATAAGAGCTGGGCCTCCAGAAGGCAACAGAGGCCTGGTAAATGCACACATTATTTATTTTTAAAATTTTCATTGCTTTTCTTCTCTTTATGTCTAAGCTGCCACCTTAGTTTCAGTAGTCCATCTCTTTTGCTTCTTCCCTCATTGTCTACCCCTGACTGGCACTCACACAGTTTCTACTTTATTGCACTTTTTATTGAAATTGCTCGCATCAACTCTTTAGATTCTGGTTGACTGGAAACTGCAGAAAGGGAGCAGAGCGAGGGAGCTTTCCCAGGGCCATGTTCGAAGGGAGACGTTGGAGGGCTTTTTGACTTTCCTGGTCTGCCTGGAGAGGGAAAGGCTGGAGGGAGCCCCACGTGGCTCCTTTCATACTCACGGGGGTTGACGGTCAGCCTGGTTCCTTGCCCGAATACCAGCTTCTGGCCAGCACTCCCTGAGTTACACCCCAGCGAAGAGCTTTACACAAACCTCACCCAAGGCCCCACTGGCTCCCCCTGGAGGAGGACGCCTGCTCGGCTCCCCAAAGGGGGGCGGACTGCTGTGGACAATGGCCCGAATCTCACAAGCCAGGCTTAGGGCAGTGCCTCCTTGGGGCTTCTTATTTTCTCTTTGACAAAGTCTCCATTAGTCTCTTTTGGAGGCATGTACCAGATTTTTAACCTCTTTGCCAGCTGAATATTTAACATCTTTATTCCACTTCATAGAATTCTAACATTTAAAAAAAATCTTTCTTTCAGTCTTTTCAGAGCTCCCCCTAAAAACAGCTGGGTGAAAAGAACTTTTAAATTCAGAATACACCAGGGCTCCTGAGTGAAGCTGAGCTGGCTCCCTCCTTACCGTTTCCGGTTTGAATGCTAAGGTCCGCTCGTCTAGGACTTAATTCGCGGGCTAAAACCTTCCTGTCCCTGCACAATTACTTGGACCTATTTTTGTGCTCATTCCTTCCCTCAACCAGGATATTGCCAGCTCTTGCTACCACCAGGGAGCCCCCCTCAAGATCACTTCTAGGAGAAACCCACCCACATGCCCTTTAGTCTGAAAACAGACACGATTTCTTTCCTCTGCTCAGGGAAATGTGATTAAAAAACAATTTCTAATTTTGCAAAGTGAAGAGGATTAGGAGAAAATCTGTTTGCCTCTGTTCTTTCCCTTCCTCCTCCCCACTCCTCTCCAATAGTTTTAAACTATTTATAGAACATCCCCTTTAGGATTAGAGAAATGTGGCAAGTTTCTAATCTCTTCATCTTTTTTTCATGCTATCTGTTTACTCCAGTCATATATTTACAATCTAAATTTACATTTCATTTCCATTTGTAGGAGATACGAATGCACTTTTATATTACTTCCAGAACACTGTGTGTAATGATAAACTCTATTGAAATAAACCAAATCACAAGGAGTTTTTAGGGCTGGGGGTTGACACTTCTGTCTTCCAAAGACAGGACTGGGGTGAACAAGTTATTATTACTCTTCCAGGTAAACCCAAGACAGGGGCAGTCCAGCCAACTGAGCAACTAGACTTGCCGGGTTGACGTGCTTCTGTCTAAATAACTGTCTACTGAGCATTGCTCCTTGGGATTAATTTGGATTTCTTTTTTAATCTAGTTCCAAAATGTCATCTTCCCATCTCTTTTGCTCTTAGACTCTCTCTGACAGGCAAAGCTTAAGGTAAATCTTGTGGATGTGCTTTTGAATCTCCACCAATATTTCATCTCTGTACACATCACAAATAAAAGAACCAAAAGAAGGATGAATATAACACCTTTGGGAGGAAGTTTATAACAGTTCTCTGGCAGAGATGAGATTTATAAATAAAAATGAAATGGCATGTGCTTTTCCTGATTATCATTTCTAATATCTGGAGGACTCTAAATGTACAACTCAATGTGGAAACATAGCAGCTGACCCACTTGCTCCTTAGACTCTAGTTAGCAACTGGGCAACACAGGTCAGCATGGATATGCTTTTTAAAATCTTGTGCTGTTTTAGGCATAAAGGACTTCAGGGAGGTCACCTGAAGCTAGCATACTACTCACTAGGGCACCTTGATTCTAACCTTTTGAATGTAGATAATAATTTGACCGTGAAAGTAGAAGGTTAACTTTGAAGTACACATTGAGTAGTTGGTATCTCTTAAGAATTGTAAGCAAAAGTTAAACCCCAAACAATTTTATGGAATGAATTTCCTTTGTAGTAAACAGATTCCCTCATGGGCAAAATTTTAGCTACATTCAGGTTACTGGTAATTCATATTAGGTTTATTTTGAGAATGGTGGGCAGCGCTCAAAATATCTTTCTTGATATTGCAAGATAGAGGGAAGGGCTGTCCTTGCATGTGGATTATGGAATCCTCTCACACCTCCAAGCTTAGTTGCTACTTTTCCTCTGAGGGGCACAGAAATGAGTGGGTATTAAAAGGGGCTTCTCTCTGCTGCAGAGCTTAGCTAAGGAAAGGATAAAAACATCTCAACTAGCAACACAACAGGTAACAGTGCCATGGGGCATGTTTTTAGAAGTTCATGATCTTTCTATTTTGAATGTTTGCTTTTAATCTTACTCTTTCCCTAAATATCAGCTTGTTATCAATGTCAGCACCAGAAAATCTTACATGGCTTTCCCCAGCTGGGTTGGCTCCAAGATTTTGAGTGTTACAGGGAGTGGGCAATTTTTTCCCCTAATTGAACCGACACGGAGGCCTCGGGAAGACAAGGTAGATACCACGAAAGTGGTGGTTCAGTTGTTCACATCAGTAGGTTACACCTCACTGTCTCCTTTTGGATCAAGTTGCGTTGTACATCCCCTGCCATTGCTGTGTCCTTTGGTCTAGTCTGTCCTATCGATCCCCTCTTCTTTTCTAAATGCTTTCTTCTGCTACACACTAAAACTTCTATCCAGATTCCATTTGTCATACATGCATCTCCAAAATAACAAAAAAGAAATTCATATTTCCAAGTGCTTAAATGTGTTGAAGAAACAGCCACAAATAACCTCCAGTCAGAGGCCGCCCTCATCACCATTTCACGAGAAAGACACTTGGCACCAAGACCCCCAAATGCAAACAACTGGGTGAGGAATTCAGTGATCTCACACTGAATTTCTAAGAGCAGTGGCTTACAATGAGAAACAAATGATCTTGTTTAACACATACCTGGTCTAATACTCAGCGTTGTTCCTTTTCCGAATATCAACTTATTATTGCTTCCTGTATCACACAATGATATGAGACTCTACAAAAACCCAGTTGCCTGACTCCCCTTGCTGTCTAATTAAATGTTCATATAAAACCAGCTCTTTCTAATGAGGGTCTGGTGGTACAGTTTAAGGACCACCCCGGGGCCCTCCTTTTTCTTTGCACTCTTGTCACTTCACTGGAAATGTGACGACATCCCTCCCAGGACACCTGTTTTGGTGAAGCAGGAGTCAGAATTACCTCTCCTTTTTACTGAGGAAGGAAACAGAGGCTCAGAGTGATTTTTCTCTTAGTCTGATGGAAAAAAATATCATCAATTATAGTAAGAAATTAAGCTTTCTGCCCTGGCTGGTGTGGCTCAGTGGGTTGAGCACCAGTCTGTGAAACAAAGGGTCGCTGGTTCAATTCCTAGTCAGGACACATGCCTGGGCTGGGGGCCTGGTCCCCAGTAGGGGGCGCATGAGAGGCAACCACATATTGCTATATCTCTCCCTCTTTTCCTTCCTCTCTTCCCCTCTCTCTAAAAATAAATAAATAAATAAAGGAATAACTAAAAAAAAAAAGAAATTAAGCTTTCTAACAGTCTGACTCCTTACTTCAATGCTCTACTAGCACTGCCATTCTCATCCATTAGATAAAGTAGCATCTGAGGGGAAAGAGAAATATCCTGCACGAGGTCAGTGCACGTCAGTGGTGGTTTGAATTGGAGCCTGTCAATGGGCTTCTGTGGTTTGGATTTGGGTTATAAAACAGAATGGAAAAATTTAGGAATCAGTTTTCCAGAGAGAAATTTGAAAGCATTAGTTATTCAAACTTACGTGGGTTTACTGTCAATTTTGTTCCCTTTCCAAAGGAGAGTTTTTGAGATCCGCCCTGAGTTACACCCCCACACGCTGCTTTACAAATACTGCCAAGACCTTCCCACCAGGCGCTGGACGCCACAGCTCCCGCCCTCCCAGGGAGAAGCGCTGAGCCAGACATACAATGTTGTGTGAAGATACAGTTGTATGGTTATTCCTGAAAAGAGAGGAACTATGGGAAATATGTAATCAATTGTTACCCAATGACCAATTGTTAATTAATTAACCAACCCAGACATTTGGCAGTTGCAGTTAATATGAAATTGCTCACACTTTGGGGTCAGGGCAAGTTCCTTAACTTGCTAGACCTCAGTTTCCCTATTTGTCAAGTGGTGAGAGTGATAACTGCTCGGTGATGCTGTCATAAGGATCAAATGAGAACACACTTCTTTAGGAATTATTTTAGCAGCTTAAGAGACCAAACCATCAGTGACTCCCCCTTCCCCCTAACATAATCCCTACACTAATAAACATTTAACTCTGGAATCTGAGTGTCAATCATTAAATTCCAGGTCCTGTTTCTGCATCAGCTTGAGAAAGTTACTCAACCTCCCTGTGCTTCTATACAAACATAAAAAGTTTTCTTCTGTAAAATGAGGATAACAACAGCACCTAATCCATGGAGCTGGTGTAAAGACTGAATGAGATAAGGCGAAAGCAGGCAGCACGTTGCCTAGCATAGAGTAAGCAATTCATAAATCATCATTATTTTCCTCCCAAGAATCTAAACACACTGTCCACTTTCTTATTTTCATAATGACCTAAAAAATCTATAAGTCCCTGGGCATTTCTCTTCCTTT